AAGCATTATATTAAAAAAAATGGACAGTAGCATAATAAGGTATTTCTGCAAATGAACGAAATATTAAAAAATATAAGCTCTTCCCTTGGGAAAGTTTGGTGTTTTTTCCACTGCTCAAGGTTTTTTCTATGCTTTTTTCAATGACTGTTTTCCAATAAATGTTTTAGTTACCTTCTTATTCATTCTTTTTACGTTCCAGGTGTTTATAGCTATTTTTTATTATTAGTGGATCATTTACTATAGCACCTCAAACCCATTACCATACTACTAACGGGAACAAAAAAAATGACAAAGGAATTAATGATAAAATTGCCTACTAGTAAATGCATATGATAAAACAAACTCAGACATTTTAAGTGCTAATTTTGGTCTGTAAAAGAAAGTCAAGTTACTTTCCAATGTTATTGTATGTTTCTAAGCAGAGCCAGACTCTTCCTAGAGTATCAAGTTAGAAAATTGTGTAAGCATAGACAGCATATATGATCTATCACCAAAATGTAAAGATTCCACTTCTCTGTTCCAGTTATATGATTTCTCCCTGAAATCAGTGAAAGGGTGAAAAGACACACTTCAGGCCTGAAGTCAATTCTCTTGCACAAGTCAGAATTTTGGCCATAAAGTTAATTTCTTGTTGGAGGTAGGCTTCCCACATAATTGCTCTTTTGATGTCAATTTGTTCAGCCTTCTCTTCATTTTCAATTAATGCACCTTCTGATTCTTGATGACATGCAAGCCATCACATGCTGAATATAATAGCCTTCTCTAAGGAGAACAAGAAATGAGGAAACAAATGGAAGCAAGCATACCAAAAATCAAAAATGTTTTATGTCTTCCAAGCTTCCTGTCAGCTCCAAGGGAAGACAGTGTTTAAGAGAAATAAAATGGACTTATATTTACTTTCTGTCAGAAGTACTAAACGGGGGAGAGGGATTTTCTGCTCAAAATGAAGCAATAGGTACAATAGAAGATGAGGTGTAAAGCATCACTCTGTTCTTCCCCTCTATTTTCCTAGCACATCAGCAAGAAGATAATCAGGATTTGGCAAGGTATCTTCCTCTCTCCTGTGTTCTTCACACTTCACAAACTGAAGTTACAATTCCAATCCTGAGTATTCCAGTAAGACTTCCTATCTTTCTACATTATGGCACTTTTACATCCCTCCAGCGCTTCTTCAAGCCCTGCAAGTGCAGAGGGAGCAGTGCAGCAGCATGTCACACGTGGTGCGGAATGGCAACTAACTGGTGCAGACCTGGAGGAACGGTGCAGGGAGGAAAGGCTGCTCTGAAAGGATGCCCTTGTGTGTCCTTACAGCAGCATGAAAACAGTTGTTTAACATGTACATCTTAAGGAGCTGCATCAACCAAAAATGCTGCATAAACTGAACAATGTGTATCAGTAGTGTGCATCTATTCAGAAAGACAAAAGATTTAGTTAAATTGGGTAATTCCTGATTCTGTTCATCTTTCATGGGAATTTAGCTCAATGTCAAAAAAGAGAGAAAAGATGGTATAACATTTGAGAAGCTGTCAAGAATCCCGCTGATTATTTTCAGCCCTATAATTTCTTTCAGCTCCAGTAAGAAAGGTAAAGTTGCCTGCAAAATCTTTGTTCTCCAGAGCATTCTCAAAGTATGTGCTGCTATAAACAGTCACTTAAAACCTGCATTTATATCCACTGTATTTTATTTCTTACCCTTGCAAGCCACCAGTATGTAGTGAAACTAAATATGCCAACTTCTACATTGAATGTGGGCTTTGTATGATACACAGTTTAAAAGACAGTTAATGTGGGACACACAGTGATGGGCAGTTATGGTATTTAAGCCAGAAGTAATCTTTCTAACTAAAGAGTATAGTAACAGTAGAGCCAGAAAAGTGCAGAAAGCTTTGTCATACACAAAATTCTCATCTGCTAAGATCATACCAATCCATAAAGGAAAAACAGAGCTTGTCGCAGCCATGGTTATTGTAAATCCAGATGCTGTCTTCCCTTGAGATAACAGAAAAATAGGCACTGTAAAAGATGGATGTACATGATGAAGGTTAAAATTCAAAAGCTCAAGACCAGTCTCAGGGCAATAAAAGGAGGGCCCAGTAATGAATAATACACCTTCTGACAAATATAATTTAGCAATAAATGCTTCTGAATCTTCTCCTATGGCTTATACATGCCTCAGAAGAATTAAAGAAATACACCTAGGAAGGTATTTTCAGATACACTCCACCGATGTTTTACTGGCCTGTGTTTATTATAGTTTTGTTTCCAAATGTTGTAATTGAAAACCCTACCCTTTTCTTTTTTTGAAAATCAGTTCATTTCTCACATTTAAGCACGGTGCTAAGATTTATTGCAGATAACTACAGAGCACATTAGCCCAAAAGAAACACATTCAGATTTAAAAGCTCTGACACAGGACAAGTTTGGGAGAATCAGAAGCTGTTTTCTCACCAAGCTACAAGCATTTGCCAAGTGCCAGCTATTAAGGTAAATCCTTGTTACTAGGCCTACATCAAAGCTCTTGTGATAAAGAAAAGCTTTCGCTTCAAGTAATCCATGTCACAGCAATTTTGTTATTTAAGTCTACTACAGCAGTACCTAGCATCTCAAAACCAGAGCTGAACTCATATATGCCAAGAGATACTCTGCTCTGCAAAGACTTAATTTTCTGCTGGTGCACATTTTGTGTGCAGTGTCACTGGTGAAGCCTGGTTTCCTGGGATGCCTTCTCCCCATTTTGCAGGTTTGGGAAGTTCAGCATGAACTTGGATATAGAGAAAGAAGGTCATCTTCTTTTTCATAAATACTGTATATTTACCCACAAGGTATTAATAGTATTGATAAAGTGACATGAACTGTTTTATTAGATCAGAACTGTACCCTGGACCTGTATCTGTCTAGCAGCAATCAAGGACTTCTACTGTACCTCTCTGCACTGCTATAGTACTCTTATAGACATTACTTTTAACATTAAAAATTTATTAAAAAAAACTTTAAAAGAATTGCATAGAAGTGAAATAAAATTTAAAGAATGGTACTTCAAGTAGTTTATCATCCAATTAATGCTATCTTCTGCTCAATGAAGGAGAAATCTGTGCTGCATTTTGCCTCTTACACAGCCCTCTGAACATATTTTACCATACCAATCGCATTACAACTTGTCTGTGATGATAATATTTACCAACTGAACAGGGAAAGAGTATCTCATCACAATGGAATTTAACACCCTACTCTGGATTACATCTTATTTTGCACTTAGTTCAAAAACTAGTTCAAGTTGTCATTTACTTTTTATCTCCATACTGCAATAGCAGCTGTTATCATTGTAGATTCCTCATTCTAGCTGTAAGGTGTGGAAAATGTTCTTAATACGGAATAACTGCCTCTCTTTGGGCAATTACTTAGTTGTCATCATACACACACACACACACACATAAAAAACCCAAAACCAACTAACCAACCAAAACACAACTTGAAGAAAAAATAATTAATCTAATACAGTTTTACTTCGGAGTCTTGCTGAGTGCTTTTGTCTAATATTTTAAATAATGAAACTGTGCAGTTAGATGGAACAACTGGGTCATCATAGCACTATGGGAACACATCAGCCACAGGACTGAAGTTTAATAAAGACTTTTAAATTTAGGACTATGTTTAATAATGAATTTAACATATCACTTAGCTCATAATAAGGCATATATCCATGTATATCCATAATACTCATGAGCATGTGCAACTGTCCCCTGAAGACAACTGGAAAGAAGGATTTAATGGCAAAAAATACTGTCAACAGCACAATCGGATCCCATGGAAAATATTCTCAATTTCCTGTTGATTTGAATTTCTAGAATAGTAATCAAATAATTTATTTTTCAGTTTCTCTTAATACTAACTAACTTGCTTCAAAGCACATATTTCTCATGTCTATTTGCTAGCAAAAAGACCAGTATGACAGCTGGGTATTTGCTTAAATGACCTTAGAGCAGCCTGACTGATTACAGCTAACTGGCAGGTACTTGCCATGTTTTTTCTTGCAGTACAGTTGTCCCCTGCAGAAAGATGTCTCCCGTGAAACCTGCATAGAAAGACATATGCTTCCAATGATCATTTTGATGATGTTAAGGTATCACATTCCTTTGCCTGCCTAAAACAGGGGCATTAAGTTCAGATTTTTAATGCCAGATGTCTGGTGTGCTGATATTTTCTGTTGGAAAGGGAGGAGTTTGTGCAATAGCTTTTTGAGTGACAGCTGTTTCTCCAGACTGCAGTGAAATTAAAGTATTCATCACTGAAAAAAAAGAAAAAAGTTTAAAAAAAAGGATAAAAAAAGAAAAGTAGTATTAAAATGTAGAATACATGCTTTTCATCTTCCATTTTGTGCACATTGAGCCTAGGTTGATGTAGCCAATGGAAAGAAACAATATAAACAGGTGTTGAATAAGCCTTCCAAAGTATTCCTAAGACATCCTAAGCCTTCTAGGCAACTAGCAAGAGGATATATATAGTCTCTAGCTGCATTAGGGGAGGTTTAAGTTGGACTTTATGAGGAATTTCATCACAGAAAGGGTGATTAGACATTGGAATTGGCTGCCTAGGGAGGTGGTGGAATCACCATCCCTGGAGGTGTTTAAGGAAAGATTGGATGTGACACTTGGTGCCATGGTCTAGTTGACAGGGTGGTGTTCAGACATAAATTGGACTCCATAACCTCAGAGGTCTTTTCCAACCTAATTGTGATTCTGTGATTCACCTAATTCTGTGATTCCGTAGGCTGATGTGTGATTAAATTACAGTCTCTGCGACAGCAATTGTAATTTTATCACTACAGTGGATTAGGAAAAAAAAAAACAAACTAAACCAAAACACGTGTATTTCTGCTCTTAGCGAAGGGCAGGAGCCAGCACAGCACCGCAGAACAGGGGGCACTGAACCAGCCCTCAGGTAACCCGTGTGTGGGACAGGGCGGGCGGGGGGGGGAGCTCCCCGATCACTGCCCCGGCCGATCCCGGCTCTCCGGGGGTGACCCCCCAGCGCTGCCCGGGCCGATCCCGGCTCTCCGGGGGTGACCCCCCAGCGCTGCCCGGGCCGATCCCGGCTCTCCGGCGGTGACAGGAGGCCCCGCCCGGGCCCGGCGCAGCTTCCGGGGCAGGCGCGGCCGTTCCGGGCGGTGCGGGCACCATGGGGGTGACGCGGCAGAAACACGCCAAGAAGATCATGGGCTTCTACAAGCACAGCTTCCAGTTCCGCGAGCCCTTCCAGGTGCTGCTGGACGGCACCTTCTGCCAGGCCGCGCTCCGCAACAAGATCCAGATCCGGGAGCAGCTGCCCGGGTACCTGGGCGGCGCCGCGCAGCTCTGCACCACGCGGTACGGGGCGAGCGGGGAGCAGGCGGCGCTGGGGCTGTGGGCAGCCTGCGGGAGGGTGGCAGCTTCTCTGAGACCCAGCTGCCTTTCCGAAGGTAGCGGGAACTGCGGGGCCAAAGGTAACCCCGGTGTGCGAGGGAGAACCGGGTGGGTCTCCTCCCACCGCCAGCGTGTTCTTGGCGAAGTGGGAACAGCAAAGGCAAGCTGATATGTCCTGGGCAGGGAGGGAATTACTGCCTGGCTGGAGCTGCAGCCTGCCAGGGCGGGATTGGTTCCAAAGTAGCTTTTCTCAGGGGAGGACAAGGATGTGCTAGAGAAAGATGTGGAAGTAAAGCACGAACACTGCATATCGAAGTTACCTTTGTTTTTGTTTGATTATATATATCGTATATAATAAATTTTCCCTCACTTGTATTTCTGCAATGACGGAATAGCCAACTGCCCATCATGGAGGCAAGTAGTGAAAATACCAGGAAGATGTATACCTAGGCTCAAAAAACACACTGAGCATCTTGCACAGCGTACAGAACTGGCCTGTACTTCTAAACAGTATAAAGTATCCAGTCGTGTCCTTAGCTGTGAGAGGTTCAGGAACGGCTTTGATCCAAACTGTATTCCTGTCCTGCCTAAATGCCACTTCTTTCAGCAATATCTGTTGGTTTTTTTGACCATCTTTCACTTAGGGCAGCTGAATCTGTCACCCTTCCCTTATCCATCAGCACTGTAACCCTGTCATAGAAGGTCACCATATTTTCACAATTTATTTTTAATGAAACCATGTTGGTTGTCACAAGTCAACTCCTCGTTTTCCATGTGCCTTCGTATATTTTCCAGGAGGATCCGCTCCATGATCTTGCCAGGCACAGAGGTGAAACTGACTGGCATGTTGTTCCCCAGATCTTCTTTATTTCCATTTTTAAATATAAATTAAATTTTAAAATTTAATAATAATAAATTAAATTTTAAAAAAATATTTATTAAGTAGTAGTTCATATGCTAGGTGATATCCAAACATAATTTTAAGGACTCAGTATATTCACTGATGTGAAATATTTTTAAATCGTTTATTATAACTTAAAGTTATTACTGGTTAATCGTTTTGACAACCAAGGAAACCTTGCTATATCTTCAGATGGGCTACTGCTTTCAGATTTCTGGGTGCCATTTACAAATCATAGAGCCTGAACAACTGGGCATTGCTCATTCTTAAATAACTCATGTCAGCCATTTGCTGTTATAAAAAAATGTGAGGGTTTTTTTTGGTTTTTTTTTTGTTTCGAAATCATTGTTTCTTTTGGTTTTCAGATGTGTTATAAAAGAACTGGAATCATTGGGGAAAGCACTGTATGGAGCAAAATTAATTGCCCAGAGATTTCAAGTTCGAAACTGTTCTCACCACAAGGATCCTGTGAGTGGTTCCACCTGTTTACTTTCTATGATTGAAGACGGCAACCCTCATCACTTCTTTATTGCTACACAGGTAAAAGCTCGTGGGAAACATTAACTCCATTTCATTTCAAGTGATGCTTTGATACCTAAAGATAAGGAAGCCTCCACTAACCTCAATTATAAGATTTTTACCTCATTTGTGGGAATTAATAATGTAAAACCTTACTCACTCTTAAATGTATTTGCTAATTATGAAGCAGGGAATCTTTTCTCTTACTTGAATGACTAGATTTTTTTACCTTATAAGGATATTGCTTAGTTTAGCAGAAAGTGTAGAAAACATACTGACTACCTATTGATGTAAGAAAACAACTCATTGATGCTAATTTGCATGTTGCTTTGTGTGCATTCCGTTCCCTGAACTGTTTTCACAGTAGTCTGAAAAGTGAAATTAAGTGTCAAACATCCATATAACTTCAGTTTTAAGAAATTTTGGACTACAGAATAAATAACTTTACAAATGAGAAAGGCATTTTTTCCTGGGTTTGTTATTGGGACTGTATGTATATATGATACACAATATATATAGAAAGGTTTATAGTAGAATTCTGTATAGTTATGTAAGATAAAAGAATTTAAGATGGTTTGTGACAGAAGAAGTTATGTTACTTCTTGTGGAGTGTTGGTCTGCATACCAGTGAACTGGGACTTTTTCCTCAAATAATGCATGTGTGCATATATATGCGGATAAAAAGGAAATGTTGATAATTTTCCATTAGAAGCACAGCTCATTAGGAGAGAAATTGAAGTTTAAATTGCTGTGAAAGGCACTGCCATGTAAATCTGCTAGTTTCTTATCTTTTTCATAAGATAAGAATTAAGTTTCTTATCTTTTTCATAGTGTAGTTTATCTTCATAGTTTTGTATTAAAAGTAGGTGCATTTGAATTGCAAATATAATTTAATCCCAAAATGTTGACTAAAGTATTTAATTTTGCAGGACCAGGACTTATCAAACAAAGTGAAAAAGAAGCCTGGCGTTCCTCTCCTGTTTATTATTCAAAACACGATGGTGTTAGACAAACCTTCTCCTAAATCTTTGGCATTTGTTCAAAAGTTGCAGACAAATCAGCTTGTTCCAGAGTACCAAAAACAAAGTATTGTGGAGCTTAAAGAAAAAGAAGGACTAGCAAAGCAAGAAGGTGAAAAGAGGAGAAAACGCAAAAGGGCAGGTGGCCCCAATCCACTCAGCTGTCTGAAGAAAAAAAAGAAGAAAACACAGGAGGGTCAGGATCCTTCTGCTGAAAAGAAGAAAAGGAGAAAAAGAAAACGAAATAGAGTTAAAGCAGAAGCCATGCCATCAGTGCAGAAGAAAGAAGGAGAATAAGTCCATCTATGTAAACAGCACATGGCTTGAACATTGTTTGAACTTTGCAAAAAGAAAGATTATTATGCATGAAATTGAGTTGTTAATATTAAAACTTATTTTTAGTAGGTCTGCTTATTATCTTCTCTGTATTGTCTGTATCTTAACATTTGCGGGTTATTTCCTAATAATTTATTCTTTTATTTAGTAATTGGGTTTGTGACAAAATATTTAGGAACCCTCACGTTTCATTATTCTCTCCAGCCTCTTGGTTCCTGTCGAAATTCACATGATATGTAGCAATTTTTTAGAAATGCCTCTTGGCTTCCATATGGATTTTGGTGGGATATTAGACTTTTTTCTAAATCAAAGTTGCTATTCTTATTAAGACTAGTTTTGACAATTAGTCTGTTAGAGAATATGAAATTGACCTAAAATAACACAATGGCTTATTTATCCTTATTGTTTGGATACAAAAGTTAACTCTTTTGCAAAGTGACCAGATGCCCTCAGAAGTCCCATCCAGACTGAATTACTATGTAAATGCCATGTGGACTGATATGTCTGTTGTTCTTGATCTTCATTTATGAAGAAGATCCCAGAGGTGCAATTGTGTTGATATTCCTGGCAGTATAATGGCATCTCTGATCTGTCTATTTCATCTGTAGTTTATTTTTAATTTTTAAATAGGAAGAATAGAGTTTGAAAATGCTAAATCAAAGCACTGACCAACACCTAATGCTGTCACAGTATAGCACAGCTGTGCAGGAGTCCTGGAATACAGGGCAGCTGACGGTGATGGGACTCAGGCCCTGCTACCTGTTTCACTGTTCTGTAAGGTTATGAACAGAACAGAACTGAGTTGGAGGAGAGTTGTGGTTTAACCCCAGCAAGCAGCTCAGCCCCACACAGCCATTTACTCAACTCCTCCTACATGGAGGTGGAGAGAATCAGGAGAGTAAAAGTAAGAGAACTTGTGAGTTGTGATAAAGACAGTTTAATAGGGAAAGCAAAAGCCACACACAAAGCAAGGCAAAACAAGGAATTTGTTCACAACTTCTCATGGGCAAGCAAGTGTTCAGCTGTCCCCAGGAAAGCAGGGCTCCATCATGTGTAATGGCGACCTGGGAAGACAAACACTGTCACTCTGAATGTCCTCCCCTTCCACCTTCTTCCCCAGCTTTATATGCTGAGCATGATGCTGTATGGTCTGGAATATCCCTTGGGTCAACTGGGATCAGCTGTCCAGGTTTGTCGCCTCCAAACTCCTTGTGCACCCCCAGCCTACTTGCTGGTGGGGTGAGAGGCAGAAAAGGCCTTGATCCTCTGTAAGCACTTCTCAATGGCAACAAAAACATCCTGACACTGTTTTCAGCACAAATCCAAAAACACAGCTACTGTGAAGCAAACTAACTGTATCCCAGCCTAAAGCAGCACAAAGAAGGAGCTTCCAAATCTGTTTCAAGTACCCAATTTTCTCTAGTAGCTATTGCTTCCTATGCCTTCTTACGTGTCTGGTGGCATTAAGTCAGAAGTGAGTGACTGAGATGACATAATAGAGGGGTATGCACTATAGCACACGCTATGGCATAGGTGTGCTTTCACGGTGTTCCCAGTCATCACTGCCCAGATTTTTAATTTTTCTCAGTGCACTTCTTCTTAACCAAGATGTAGTCCTTAAAAGCTTTCTGTTTCTTCATCTGTGTGAGTTTAAGCCATGTGCCCTAAACAATTCTTCAGCCTCTGTATCGTGTTTGCAAGGTAGTTTTTCTGTGCGTTGTCTGCGCAGGTTCTTGAATGTCTGGAGTACACAGCTGTACTGTTGGCCTTTCAAATCGTATGGAAAGCTGTTTCACGGAGTTTGAGAAACTAGCTTGAGTGATGAGAGTTAGCCAGTCTTAGCAAAAACTGCAGGATCATTCCCTAGAATCTACAGAGTATCCCTCTGGCCAGCACAGGAAGGTGCACAGGACACTGCTGCTGTAGCCCCAGTCCAAGCTGTTCCTCCCAACACGGCTGTTAGGAGTGACTGTGCCTTTACTGTTCCATACAAGACCACATGCATCTTGGGAATGGACGGTGAGAGACAGAAGCAGCAAGGAATGGTGCTGTAGTCAAGATGAAAGCTTATTTGAAGTTTAAAACAGTCACGCTCATCATAGTATTGTTCCTACATTGATTGCCAAAGTCAGTCCTGAGGCGAAATTTAGTAACTCCTAAAAATATCTTAATGCAGCATATTTGTTTGATGTATATTGCCTTTCTCAAGCTGTCATAGCCCTTTCACCTGCACTCATTTGGGCACAGTCCCATGTTAATGTAGTTTTACTTCTCATTCTACTGTAAATATTGCTTGTATTTCTTCCCCCTCCCCAAACTGACCCATAGACATCACTACTGTAAGTAAAGTTTGGAGCAGACAGCAGAGATGGTTCAGCATCAAAATCTCATTCTGAGTCAAAAGTATATTAAAACTCAGTAACTTTACTAAAAATATTGTTTTTAAAAATAGAGAAGAAAACACTCTAATTATTTGCAGTAGTCCCTTTCAGTGTAGTTAAAGCTTAAATCCACTTTTTTTTGAAGACTTATAGACATAAAAACCTAATTCTTGCAAAAAAAAAGATTATTTTAACAGTCATCTAATGACTGCCACCTTAAGGAATTTAAAACAATATTTATCTATGTTTCCTTGGCATTTTGTTAACACAAACTGAGTCATGGTGTTGCCATTGGGAAGAACTGGAATGTAAAGGGAGTGAGCTCTTAAGAGAAAAGCTGTAAAATTTGTCTGCATAGCTGCAGCTTTCCTCCAGCAAGGTAAATAACTTGTCTGTCAGCTTTGGGAGGGAGCTCCTGCCCAGGCAACAAGCAATCAGACCGTGTTTTGTTACCATTTTGAAATATGAAAAAAAGAAAGCCCATCCAGGTCAAACTGACTGGCTGTATTTATACCATTAAATCAGCAACACTCGGAGCTGCCTGTAAGCCCGAGCCCAGCTGGACGGGCTGGCTCTGCCCGGGCTGGGCTCTGCTCGGAGCACACACCACCAGCGCGGCTGCCGGCAAACCGGCCGTGTGGATGCTTTCAGGATGTGCTGCCTCTGCCTGCCAGGGGTTGGTGAGGTTTAGTTGGCCCGGGCTAACCAATGACAAGTCCCTCTAGTAATTCTGTGGTGCAAGTCACTGGAAGCATCCCTAGGCCTATGGAAAACACCACTGTGGAAGTACCTGTAGAGCTAACTTTGCTGTTCTAGGTGTTCACTCCACGTTCTGCCCAAAAAGCCACTGCCTTATTTATCAATAAATGGTCTGGAGTTGTGACCACAACTCTAGCATAGACAGGGTTCCCAATATAGCTTTTCAAATGAAGTTTAGGATCATTTTGCTGTAGGGTGTCAGAGGGACTGGTTTCAGTTTTGAAACTACAGAAAGCCCCAGGTAAATTAAAACAAGTATGAACAAAAACTTCTTGGGGGCTATTGATTTCCTCTTTTCTCAGCATAAATATACACCCTAAATCCTAGGCAGTACCTCGCTAAATCTTTCTTTTAAAAGAGAGGGAAACAACCAGTATTGTAGAGTACTATGTATGCTACATGTGCAGAGTGATAGAAGAAGAAAATGTCAGCCACAGTCTGCAGGGCGTTAATGCTGAATTTAGAACAGAGTCTCATCTACCAGCAGCAGAAGACATTTATCTAGACTGCCTGCCAATTCAATTGGCTGGATTTGTATGTTGGTGTGATCCAGTATTGTACAATAAATCACTCCCTGAGCATCTGTTAATGACGCTAAATAGATGAGTTAATTAGAAGCTTCTGGAACCTGAGATGTTTATGAATCATTAAAGTAAATATGAATATGGTATGACTTAAAGAATAAATAAATGCTAGTGGGGAAAAGAAAATAGGATGTCCAGAGCAGTCCTGCTCATTTGTTTTCAGCTACACTGATACACTGTGAATGACTTCTGCGTCAGCTTTAGAGTGTTCCTGGAGTTTCTTGAACGTGTTCTGTCAGAGACAAGATGAAGAACGTCGGAACAATACCATGATTTATACTCATTGCATCTTTCAGATAGAAGTTTCACAAGCAGCTACTGTGTATTTCATACCTCTGTGTGGGCGTAATATCTCACACAGGGAGCAGCCGGAGATACAGAAATGAACAAATAAGAGCCCCAGCAGGTGTTATCATTTACAATTTAAGGGAGAAAGATTGCAGTGTTCAGAGAGAGAATGACAGAAAGCAAAAGTTTTTGTACGCAGAGAGCCAGTAGTGAGAGAGAGACTGCACCTTGTGATTTAGGAATGGCCTAACTAATGCCAAGAGAGGGGCTTGTGATGTATTTCTGATAATTATTATGTCTGTGCACTCCAAGCCCCAGATTTGTCTCAGAGAGCTCAGCTGTCTGCCCACAGAGGCAGTCATTTTGTAAAAGTTGCTACAGCTTGTTATGGAAGACGCAGGCTGGGCTCTCTCAGGGGGACTTTATTTTCTGATTTCTTCTCCTGCAGTTGAGAGGGAGAACATGCAGCTGTGCTCTGTGTATGGATACAGGGAAACAATGAAGCTGTTAACAAGAGTCCAATTAAAAACTATTCAGAGTCAAGAGTTGGAAGGAAGAAAAGAGACAGTAGTTACTGGGATTTAAAGAAATCAAGGAAGAAAGAAAAATACATGTAAGGGTTTCTGAGTGTTAACTGGAGGAAAGAATTGGTCAGCAGCAAAAGGTGAACCAGAAATGGCTCAGCAGTCAAGGAGAGTAGGGAACAAAATAATAAACCATAAGCAAATTAAAAAAAAAATCATTCCAATTCCGTTAAGAAAACCTCATTACTCTTTGTGACTCAGTTTCTGCCTTTTTAAAACAGGGAGCTGGATGGACTAAACCACTCATAGATCTTGTGTTGATAGCCCAAGATTTCCTGCAGAATGTAGGTCTCATGATGACAAACACTGTGTCTTTATGGTTTTTCAATATCACACACTTTGCAGCACTGGCAGGTTTGCAGCCAAATCATTCTGCTGTAGATCTTGCCTAACATCGCGTGTGGCTCACTGCCCAGCACACAGATATTACATCCAGGAGCAACCGACTCATGCCATTTCTGATAGGTGAATCCACGCAGTTAATTGCTCCTGAGTGTACTCACAGCAATAGTCTGGGATAGCCAGCAGTTCTGGCTGTGGAGATCATGACCCAGAGCATGGTATGGGGTTTTTTTAAAGTCTAATCTCCTTCCGGGAGCTCAGTAGGGAACCTCAAAAGTTGCTCGTTGCAGTCTTGACTTCTAGTTGATCCAGAATGATCACTTGGCCATGTTAATTCCTCTGGGGCCAAAGATGCTACTGATTAGACTCTTCAGGGGGGTTATTTTTTCAGACTGTCTTGGGGAAACACTGAGGAAATTTTTCACTCTGTGAATTGGCACCCATTTCGACAGGCAGGTTTTCAGAAAAAATGAAGAGAGAACTTTTCTAGAATTCCTGGCTCCCTCTTTCCACCCTGACCTCTCTTTCAGCTCCCAAGAATACAAGCAGGGCTCTTCTAGGGTGGTCCAAAAATGTGTCTCACCCAGCATCACACCTCCAATAGTGGCTGAAAGCTGTTTCTTAGGAGTATTATGAAAATTGACAAAACATCTTTTTGGTGCTTCCTCAACTGACTTTCCAACTTTCTAACAATTTGTTAGGGAGTTCCTGACCCCAGAAAAATATTTGGTTTTTAACAGCAGACAGTGAATCTCTCTTTCACTAATTTAAGCCTCTAATTTTCTGTGGTAAGGAGCTGCACAACTTGAACACGTGAAAAATACTTTCATGTATGTAAGCTGACCCTTGTAATGGGTGAAAGTTTAAGCAGTCATTCTTTAGTCACCTTTCCCATGCCACTCATGGCTGCATAGACATCTGTGATATTTCCCCTCATTCTTCTCTTTTCCAAGCTGAAGTGTCTTCTGCATCACAAAGAGCAGCACCTAACAGGAAAGCAGATTGCAGCTTAGTCAGGCTCACCTGAAAAGACCAGAGAGTGCCTGCATTCTGCTGGATGTTCTTCATAGAAAAGCATGAACAGGAAAAGTCTTGTGAGAAAAGGTCTAGGACAGGAACTCAGCTTTTTGTTTGCCACAGACTCCCTGCTTGAGCTGAATGCCATTGCTCTTAAACATGTGTTGGCTTCTTGCCTGTGGAATGATGGTGTACGTATTTCCCTGAGCTCCTAAGCTCTCCACAGATTGGCACCACTAAACAACTAGACAACAACATTCACAAGACAACTGGCTACTGTGCTGATATTGTTGGAAGAACCCAGTCTTTGCCCAACACACAGTACATCCAAAATAAAAGTCAGCCGCATACTGGGCTTATGATGGTATCCCTGTACCCTAAAATTAAGATGTAAATGATAATTTGAATATGATAGAATCATAAAACAGCCCGGGTTGGAAGGGACCTTGGAAGATCATTTGGTCCAACCTTTCACAGGTCAGGGAGCCTAAGTGAGATTATCTAGCATCCTGTTCAATCACGTCTTGGAAACCTCCAGTGATGGGGACTCCACCACATCCCTGAGGAGATTGTCCCACTGAATGATTGTTCTTACTGTAAAAAATATCTTTTTTTTATGTTGATATGAAACCTGTGCCAGTGCCACTTGCTCCTGTTGCTCCTTGTCTTCTCTATGTGACTCTTTGGGAAGAGACAGCCTCTGTCCTCTTTGAAGCCACCCTTTAAATACTGA